CCATAGCTCTAGTGCATCCAATGTCCAGGATTGCAATAGTCGGCGGGAAGCGATTCTCAGTCAAAAATGAAATGGCCTGCATCTCCTTCACTTCTTCCTCAGCGCTCATAAGCGCAAAGCCATCAGGAGCCTTTGTGAGCATCTCCTTTGACAAAGAGTACCTCACAGGGGCACTCACGCCATTGAAGATCGTCTCACCATTGTTGACCGCGCAGTCAGCTTCATCTTGGCATGAGGTCATCATGCCTGACAGCAAGTTCACCTCACTGTCATGGACTTCAGCTGCTGCTGTCACACAATGTGCAAAGAAACCTTGTTGACCTCCTGATGCTTGTGAAGATCTTGAAGGTGCAGGTAAAGAACGTGGCTGTTGTTGATTTGCATAGTTTGCATCTTGTTTGCCATCTCCTTTATCTTGTCCTTTTCCTTTCTTGCCTTTTCTCTTGCCTTTTCCTTTTCCTTTGTGGGAAAACCATGCTTCTTCAAGCTGTTGCCAAAAGTCATTGGCATCATCATATTCTCCTTGAAGATAGTCATTCATATCTTCGGCAAGAATAGCATCATATGCTACTTGGTTTGACTCCCAAGTGTCCTCATAAGGATTCTCTTCAAAATACTCATCTGGAAAAGTTGTCTGTTGCTCATCAGCAAAATGGCCTTTACCTCGTCTCTTTCCTTTTCCTTTTCCACGAGGTCTGAAAAATCTGCGGCCTGATCTTCCTTTACCTTTTCCTTTTCTTCTTCCTTTTCCTTTGCCTTTTCTGGCTCTTCTTCCTTGGAATCTCCTTTGGAACCACGAGAAGTTCTGATCATCATATACCCAAAAGACATCGTCCAGGGCATCTAAAAATCCTTCTGTTCCATCTTCTTCATCTTCGGCCCAATAGCCAAATGTACCATCGAGTTCTCCTTCGTCTAGTACGAGAAATGATCTTCTACCTCCAGCACCTGTCGGCTGCATCAAAGGATTGTCTACTGAAGTCTTTGTCGTGCAGAACATCTCGATGAACACTGTCCTCAACTCTGTTGTAGTGTATTGCTGCAGGACCCTGCCACGATGAGTCATCAAAGAAGTCAAAGTGTTTCGCTGGTCCTGAGACAAATCTGCAAGTGACAGCATGAGTAAGGCAATGAGATTTTCTCCTAGAGGAAATTCGTTCTGATGAAAAGTCCTCATATTGCCATTGATGGTCTGCATGATTTCCTGAATCCTTTCTGCCGTTGGTGCTACTCCAGTCAACGCTGCATCTGCCTGCATCTGAGCTAGGACTTGTGGATGTGCTTGAGTGACTGGTTCTAACATGTCCATCCAACTGCTCATAAGCCTTTGGAGTAAAATCTGGAATCTTGTCATCCATTTCATCATGTCAGCTGATCCTCGATTGAAGCGCACAAATTGCATGAACCTATACAGGAATACATTGGTTGATCCTTTCACGAAATATGGTCGTAGTACTCGTTTGAAATATTCTACGCCGGCTCCTGGTGGATCATTTGCCTTCAATGCATCTCTGTCTAAAACACGCTTGTATACAGCTGCTTCTCCTTCTAATCTGTTTCTCAATGCTGGTCCTCTCTTCTCATCTTCCAGCTCGGTGATATCACACCAATCGTCTATGGCATCCTCATAGGAAAACCATGAAGTCTTTCCATCATAAGATGGGCACCTTTGTAGTGACCTGTGTTGTCATTGCTATTGCTGCTGGTTCTCTTCTCACATGCCTATTCACGTAGGCTGCTGGCTCATAAGCCACATCCGCATCAGGCTCTTCCCAGTCGTCAATCCAATCCATGGCCGTTTGCCCACTAGCAAGTCTATGCCTAGGAAAGGAGCTCACCTGGGTCTTCCAGGATCACTGCTCCGCTACCACTGAAAGAGTCACTAGGGCGTACACGGTAGAGGTGCAGACCGCTAGTGTCTTTTATGCGCAGAGTCTTATCCTCTTGCTCTTTGAGCCTTGAAGCAGTCAAGTATGGACACACTATATCGGCTGTTGGAGTGGAACCCTGTACAGGTAGGCTCTACTTTTCAGGGGGGGGGGGTCTGAATTGAGCGATCAATTATTAGACCCGGACGTCCCAACACTTGCTTCGCAAGACAAACTCAAGGTATCCCCTAAAGGGCTACCTTTCATGAACAGCCCATTGTTTTACGAAGGATTTGAGGCAATGACTACAAAATAACCAGGTCCACCATTGTTGTTGCGGGTCCTGGAAGGCCAGCGGCTAGGGTATGAGTAGAACTTCCCCACAAAACCTTGGGAAATCCGATGTCCAAGCCAGGAAACAAGCACCAAAAACCGTCCTCGGCGCTCTGCTTAAACTTGATCTCCGGCAAGTCCCACAGGACCACCCTGCAACGCTTTGAACGAGCGAGCTCGCTCCCGCCCGCAGTTGCAAGGTCCCGTGCGCCATCTGTTTGCCAAGGGAACCCACCAAGCATTGGGTGAAACAGCTCACGTCTCCATTTCACGTCGCTCACGTCAGCTCACGTCTTTTTTCAGACGAGATCTCGATCCCATGGACACCAGGGCGCCTGGCCCGGCCCCTTCTTAGATCTTAGATCAGGTGTCCAATCGGGACGACAGCGGGGCGAAGTTGAGGACCAAAAAAAAGGTGTATACACTGTATCACATGTTGCACAAAAACAGAAACATTACACCACTGTAGACCCCAAACAGGTGGGACAACAAAGAAGCATTCCCAAGTCCACTTTTTGAGACATCAACAAGAAGGGAGACAAGACCGGAGACAAAGGGAGGCAGAAGGGAGACAACACGGACACAATGGCCAACAAGAAGGGGGACAATACGGGAGACAACAGGAAACAGAAGGGAGACAAGACCGACACAATGACCAACAAGAATGGAGACAAAATGAAACAGAAGGGAGACAAGACGGACACAATGACCACCAAGAAGGGGGCTTTCCTTCAGCAGCATAGGCCTTCAAACAAGCCGTCCTGCTTGGTCTCGTGAGCACATTGCATGACACAAGAGTTCCCTGCGTCACCTCCCTGCGTCAGAGACTGTCTGACGCCAACTGTCCAGGATGATCATCACCACCTCTTCATCGGCTTCTTTCTCTCACGCCGACTGTGGCAACACCAGGTAAGGTCCATTCTACTTACCTGCCGCAGGTCAGTAGAAATGCTACATGGCCAGCGGAAAAAGGGCGGACACCAGCAGTGACACAAAGGGCGGACACATCTTAAGAAAGAATAGAGAACCCCTAACAGTAAACTATTTGGTGAATAAAACAAAACACACCATTTCACGAACCTTTGGTTTTATTATTGGTTTAAAAACAAAACCATATAACTAACAAGTAGTCATAAAACCGCCCACCGCCGGGTCACAGCGCCGCGCAGCCATGGGGGAAAGCAGACACCACAACTCCGGCAGCGCCTGTTGAGCTCGCTGTCCAAGAAGTGGTACGGCACGGCCTGGAGGCAGCGACTGCGCCCCGGCTGGGGTGGGGTGGGGTGGGTGGAAATAGCCAAATGACGAGACTTGAGTGAATCCAATGATGTGCAAAAAAGACATGTGTACAAGAGAACTCGAAGCTCCATCTGTTTGAGAACTCCTGAGATACACTTTTATAATACTTTATACATTACACTCGGGGTCACCAAGTCACTGAAGACGCAGGTCCTCTTCAACGTCAAACCTTAACCCCAGGCCTCTCGTAGGTCCAAACATCCCCGCCTCTCGTCCAGGCGCCATCTTGGAGGCTGTGCCCTTGAAGATATGGGCGATCTGGGGCATGAACTCCTGGCTGCTTTTCAACCGACGGCTGAACCGACGGCCGCGGAACCCACGGCAGCGTCGTTGGAACACCACGAGTCCCGGCTATTTTTCCGCACAGGTTCCGAGTGGCTCGGAAGTCGTGGGAGGGATCCTGATGGTCTCTTCACTCAGGTTCAATGGATTGGCAAAAGAGAACATCGACAGCAAACCATGGTTTTCACCGGTGTTGGGACAGCGACAGCTGGACTACTCTGCACGATCTGGACATGTTCACTCACCCTGATCTCATCTCATCTCCCATTCCACCACTTCGACTGCGATGATTGCATGAGCGAACCAAGCAGCGAGACACACGGGGGATTGACACGTGACATGATGTGCTAGACTCTAGACTATGTCATTAAAGTATATTTCTCCGGCTGGCCACACGAACAAAAAAGACTAAGAGCAGCCAGACTGCTTTAATCTCAAATGTGATATCTCTGATTGTTCGGTTTTCACGTGTTTTATCCAACCATCACAGGCAACACACGTGAACATACTTTGGCCATAGAACCCCCTTTGGCCACCCTTCCCCTCACCCCAGTATTCGCTCCAAGAACTGTTTCTTGCACGTAGAACTTGGCCCGATCATCGCCAAATGCATCCTCCGTCGTCGACCGGTGCCCCAATCAACCAGCGGGGAAAGTGTCACTCTACCAGGGCCCAGGGCCCCCTGAGGCCCGCTTGCGGGGTACCCCACAATGGACAATAATGTAGTCTTGAACTAGTAGTCATATAAAACAAAAAAACATTTGGATTGTAAAAACACTTCACAAGGGGGAGTCTACATGAGTTGCAGTTTGTTGGTAGAAAGTGCGGTCATGTTCCCCTCTCGGACTGCAGAATCTAGTGACTAGTGAAGAGACTGCCCTGGAGTTTCTATGTGCTTCACGCCTAAAAACGCTCTCAAGGAAAATAAACAAAGAAGTTCCTCACAACTCACAAGCCAAAACTCCACCCACCACAACTTGTCCAGTGAATGCTATTCAAACACCTCTCGCCCTGGGAGTGCCGCTCGGACCGGCTTCCAGGCATGGTTTTCCCCTTAATTCCTCGGCCGACCGTTGGTGACCTCTTCTCTGGAGTCCAGAACCCCCCCCCGTCATCCCCCCCACTAAAGGTCCCTGGCTTCATGAGGTCATAGCATGTCATAGCTGCCTGGAGGTCCCACGAAAGGTCCTGTAGACTCTTGATTCTATCATATTCTATCTATTTCAACCCCCCTGACATGAAGAGGTCTGCATGTCCAAGCAGGCGGCAGCACTTGGCCACTCCGCGGACGATCCGCGCACCGTCCGATTCACCGGGCGCACTCTCCCGGGGCGCCCCTGCTTGTAGGCTTCCCAACAGAAGTTGGGCCGCGGATACCTGAACCAACATGATCCCTTTCAGGGGTCTTGGAGTGGTCTCTCTCACACTCTGTGCTGGCCAGATTTGGTAGTTCAAGCTGTTTCACGCCCCCCAAAAAATGTCTGGGCCCGAACAAAGACGCAGGGAACCACCCGTTTCGGGCAACACCAACCAGGCAGGTGCCCAACGAAAAAGGACACGCCGGGGAGGTTCGCCGTTTCTGAGGAGGTTGACTCCAACGTCGGAAATAGTACACCCAGAAAAGCGAAGAACTCTCTCAAAGGACCAACACCAAAACCCACTCTCTCTTTTCATGTGCCTTCCCAAAAGCTTCTACAGCACTGAAAAGAATCAAACAGACCACACGAAAAACCTCCGTGCCACGTGGCACTCGCTGCGTTCACGAAAAACTCGCAGCGACAGCGAGTGCGAACCCCGGCTTGGACTCGGCCCCCAGGCTGCCGCGGCTTGGACTCGCTGGAGAGGTCGTTCTGCGGCGCATGCACCGGAAGCACCTCGGCACCGTCGGAGGGCGGCCGAGGCGCTTCGCAAACCCGTTCGGACCGGAGCTTGGCGCGGGGCGGGGCGGGGCCCGTTCGGCGAAAGCGACGATCCTGAGTTCAGGACGTGGATGTGAAGATTCGGCTGGGACGTGGATGATGTACCGAAGAGTTGCCCGAGTAGTGAAGGTGTTGATCCGAAGCCAGACACCCCAGAATTCTTGCAAACAGGTGAACACTCTACTAATGTGTGCAAACCCAACAAGGAATCAAATCTGAAAAGTCACTCAAATCTGAAAAGTCGCATAGTCGACTTTGGAGTTCTTGTAAAAAGTTGCCCTCAAAACACCTCTCTTTGAGGATCCGCTCGAATCTCAAACACTCGCCGAATAGAGGGCGGGCCACAGCTGCGCTAACCACCGCATGGGTGGACGGAATCGACGCATCTGGGAGCAAGGACCACTTCAAGCAAGGTATTCTGCAAGTAGTTCCTGGCAAAACAACTTTGCTCGAGTTTGATTGGACAGCTGCCGGAAGCATCTAAGTGACAGCGTGGGGGAAGCATCTATAGAGAGAGAGAGAGAGAGAGATGTGCAAACTTAAGAAAGCATGCAAGGCTGGACTTCGCCACGTCAAGGCTGGACTTCCCACTCATGGACTTCGCCCAGCATGCAGCTCCCCGTGGCTCCGGTCCGGTGTGGAGTCACCAGGAGACCGACCGGTGGACCACCGCGACCCGTTCGTCCCCGGATCCGCTCCGAACCGGACGAGTCGGGTTCACCCCGTGAGTCGTAGCTGCCAGGGCTGCTTTTCACGGAGCATCTGGATGGATTTGGTGTCCTTCATTGGAACTTGTTGGGCGAAACACGGGCCCGGTGTGACGGTCGGACTCGTCGCTGGGACGACTAAAGCGTGAAGATGGGATCGTGCGGAGGTACCGTGGTAGTAAGGAATGCCTACAAAACCGTCCCTCGTAGTCCAACCACACGCTTCGGCACACTCTTGTTCGAAGGAGAATCCTCTGGTTTAGTCGGTCTTGTGCTGCGACCCCCACTCTCCTTTGGCTCCGCAGTGCTTCGACTCCAAACAGGATGGCAGTACACCAGTCCAGGATGATGAAAGTCATTGGCCAAAGGAGGATCCTTGCGACAGAGCATAGCTGAGACGAGTTTCATCGGCACAGCAAGGCCTGCATCCAAATGCACTTCTGGCTTTTAACTTGTCTTGACTCAAGCTGGCGCACGCTATAAAAGCCCGCGCGGGAAGGTCTGAAGAAAGGATATGCTTTAAAACCCTCAGAAAGAGCGAGGTTGCAATGTGAGGTGTAAAAGCCTCACTCACGACCCTCTTTAAAGTTTGGCACACAGCCAGTGCACGTTCCTGAAAACCTAAAAGCCTTTCAAACATCTGTAGGAACTGTAGGACGGTCCTGATCAAACTTCAACATGATGTCTGGGTCAATCTCATTTGTGCAAGGAGCCGATTCACATCAGCTTCCAGCCCCTCTGGCAAAGGCTGACTGCTTCTCAAGAGCCTCACTTTGTGCACTTCCAGACCTCGCTTCAGCACCACCGTTTCCCGCTCTGTGGGAACCAACTCTGCACGCTCTTCCCAAGCTAAAACCTCGAAGCACTGGCTGAAAGAGAAGGCCGCCTGCAGGCGTCAGAAGCGGTCGTTTGAGGGTTGTTAGAGATGCAGATGTATCGAAAACCATCGAAAACCATCTTCAACCATCTTGATATTGCATTCAAAATCCCAGCACCAAGGGGAATCTAAGGGCTAGGTTTGTCTTCTCAAATGAATCAATCCAACAACAACTTGCTGTACACAATTGTTTCCCTCAACCCACCTTCGCCTCAGCAGTCAACAGCTCTACATCCGATTGAAACAGCACCTCCCCACGCTTGGGTTCCAAATGTTCAGCCAGCCATGCCACCAGCTTCCCACTCACCAAGCGTCTTTCTCGGTGTTCCACTCGGTCCAAGTGGGGATCTGGGAAGTTCATGCTGACCGTCGCTACGTGGCCCTGGGCTTTTCGGAGATCCACCAGCAGCTGCCCTAGGTCCTGCGCAGCGTTGCTTTCCAGGAAGGCCACGTTCGCCAGTCCCTCCGCGCGCGCGCGGGCGTTGGCAAAGGCCACGGCATTGTGCCGGAGCTCCAGACCGATGACACGCAAATCTGGACGCGCCTGAGCCACTGCACGGGCAAAGCCGCCCATGTCACAACCAAGGTCAAGGAAATAGCACGATCCGGGTGAAGCCTTTCCAGTCGAATCCGAACCAAAGGCTGCTTTCAACCAATCAGCTGGTAGTGCTGCTCTTGATGTTTCAAGTGGATTCACCGGATGGCGGCTGAGTCGCTTTCCGCTGCGAAACGCTCTTCCAATGGACGCTTGTCCCCCAGGACCCGTCTGGCGAGAAAGCACTTGGAGAATCTCCTTGACGCTGGGCGCTTCGTCGCCATTCATGAATTGCAGCCCGTAGAGTGCATTGCTGGTCTCCTGTTCCGTGAGCGTTCCATCAAAATGCTTCACTTTCTGTGCCAAAGCTTGTAAGAGTTCTTGAACCTCCCGGCAGCTGCTGGTCATGCTTTGAAGACCATAGAGCGCGTTTCCAATGGCTTGGCCATCCAAGCCAGCCGCATTTTGGATCAGAGGCTTCAGAACCACCAAGAGCTCTTGAAGCTCTGATACGTCGCTCTTCATCCCTTGCAGGCCATAAAGAGCGTTCCCAACACCTGCAGGAAGGCACCGCAAGGCACAACCAAAACAAAAGAACTATACGACTATACTCACAATCTATGGTTGGTTTTGATGGAACCAATGTTGTTCAAGATAATTGGGAGCGCTTTTGGTTCGAGTTGTTGTATTGACCTAAATACGAGTCTGGGGGGAAGTTTGACTTGTGTTGAGGATGCTCAGAAGTTCAATACATTTCACACAAGCAAGAGCCAAATGCATTTCACATTGGAAGAGCCAAGAAAGTGCACGTACACCCAAACACGTAGGCTGCCGAGAAATGTGATCAATTCATACAACTGGCTGAGGCAGGTCAAAACGCCCTATGTTCAATCACAGCAGTGTGTGAGCCAGTGGGTTCTGATCCCTTCTCAGTTGAAACAGGAAGCACCAACCATGGAGCCAGCACCGAGCCCGATTTGGCTGTTTCATCCTTCACAGTGCCTTGAGCAGACAGTCGCTGCTTCCTTGAGCAGACCGTGGCCAAGGCCACCAGCAAGCGGCGCACTTCCTGGAAGTTCGTCGAAAGTCCCTGCAAGCCATACAGCATATTGCTCACAGCTTGTGCATTCAGCTGGTCTTTGATCTCCAGGTTCTTCCGAATCTTCGTCGCCAAGGCATCCACCAACTGAAGGACGTGAGGATCGCTGGGCGTCAGCTTCTGCAAGCCATACAAGCAACTCGCACACTGGCGTGCATCCAGCTTCACCGCGTCACAAGCTAAAGTCTTCGCGAGGAAGCCCAAGGTCGAAGGAGAATAGACCTCGCACGTACTACCCAGACACAACAAATGGAATTGGAAGATTCCATGTATGGAATATATTTATTTATAAAGTAATATATTATATATATACTGTATAGCATTCTCATTACATTGACCCCGGGTCGACCACCCCAATGTAGGTATATATGCCGGTCCCGTCTGTCATGTCGTTAAGAGTCAAGAGTCAAACAAGGTCCACCATCGTCCACCTCACCAATTTGGGTGCAAATCAGCACAGCACAACCAGAACCTGATCCGGAAAAAACAGAGTCTCCCCCACCTCTTCTGGATGCTTGGCTGCTTTGAAGAAGATCGTGGCCAAGTTCACGCCATTCAGCGGCCTTTGATCCTTCTCCAGGCTCTTCAACACCTCACGCAACGCCTCGCTCGACCGCGCGGCCACAATGGCCTTATTGGTGCGGACGTAGCCGGTGGGCGGCCGGTCTGGCCGTGCTGACCGACGCACGGCGCGAAGCAGCAGCAAACGGGGGAAGAAGCGAAGGCCCCGAAGGCTGAAGGCCCCAGCACCTTTCAGGGAGTGTTTTCGAGTCACGGTCGTGTAGAGAACTCTGCCTTGCTGGGTATGGACTCGGCGGACTCGGAAGGTATGACCACAAGGACTCTATGTTGCCTTCAGATGTCCCCTACTGCATGGTATACGTTCAAAAAGAGAAAGCGGTGCTCCCCTCCCTAACTAATCGAAGAATGACCTTATTGAAAAAATTCGAGCAGTTGACTAACTGGATGTCCCTCGTCTCGTGCAGTAACCACTTGGCTAACCACCCGTCTGAGTGGCTAGGGAACGCTTATATCATACACTGGGGTGCCAAAAGTTGCGCTTCTTGACTTCTAAAACATCACAAACCCTTTCCCCTTAGAATCCTACGTGCAACATGTCGACACCTCAGTTGCGGTCAGATTTCCACACCTGAAAGCCTTATAAATACTATAAATTTAAACGGGTGTGGAAATCTGACCGTGCTGTACCTGCCACGCAAAATGGACGTGTTAATCCGATCCGCTGTAGACCGCAAGTGTCATGTTGGAACAGAGTAAGAAGCGTAAACTTTAGGGTTCTTGAAGGGTGCTGTTTGTGTTTTTAAGAAGGTGCTGGAAATAACATAAGTTCCATGATTTTGATATCAACTCGCTTGAAACATATTATATAACGTTGATTATATGTTTATTTGTTCTTAACTTTATAACAGGACAACGTTAATGTCGAACTTGACAACATTTCTCATGATTAGTTGTAAACACAAGGCTAATACCTATAGTAATAACGCAGGGTGCTGTTTGTGTTTAAGAAGGTGCTGGAAATAACATATGTTCCATAATTGTGATATCAACTCGCTTGAAACATATT